ATCGTCCTCTTCGTTCGCCTCAACGAGCGTGTCGCGCGATTGTGCCGCATCCTGATCGTCCGGATCCGAATACGAACGTCCGCTCCTCCGTATCTCGCGCTTAGACAAAAGCGAGAGCATCTCATCGTCGAGCTTCGATGCATCCTCCACTAGTGCGTTCGCGATTACACGAGTATTATTTCCACTTCCGGCAATAATTACCTCCTCCAGAATGACTTTGGGATCGCTTTTGGCGTTCGAAACGTTCGTGTGGTTGCGTCCTGCGTCACCGATTTGTAACGTCAGCTGCAAATAGGTCGATGTATTATGCAGACTTTATTATATATCGTAAATATATAAATTAAACGCATCCTGGCAAGAGCATTGTTTCACGGAACGTGGCCATAAAACGTCAATAAAATTTCGGCTCGTTTGACGAACAATTGATAGCTTTCTTTAATTATCGCGTATATACTTACGCTTGCGGTAAGAACGATAATTATTTGTTAACGCGATAAAATTTATTAGTACTAAATATATCACGCATATTAATTAGATTAACGTCAGTTCGGACAAGATCCCGTATATATATTTCACATATTTAGCACCATACCACTTTATTGCCTCTCTCACTCCACCATTCTAATTAAAAGTTGACGTAAACACGCGTCAACCTTTGCCGCTGACAGCCCCCACGGTTGCACATTTACTACGAATTATTTATTTTGCCATTCGTGGCAAAGTGTGTACATATATCGTTAGAAAATGTCACAACATGCTACGAGAGAAATTAATCAAATTCATATATCGGACGGTTGTCCTTATATTCTCCATGCTCACTTTTATTTAACGTTAAAGGGCGCGTTAAAAATTCAATATCGAGATATTACCAAATGGATTAGCAATAGTAGCACCATGGCTACCAGCTTTCGGCAGGTTTTCATCATTCGACAAATTCACGACAAAGACTGAACCGCGTTGCTGACGCGGCCAGGCAATTATATCGAGACTCGTTTTCCTCTATCAGAAAACCATTCGCGAATGATATGACAGTTTCACAGCGATTAGGCACCTCGAAGTGTCGAAGGAACCGCCGAACAATCAGTCCTGCATCGATCGCTCCTTCCTCCTTTCTCTGTCGGTTGCACAAGATCGTCGCTCGGCCGGAGCCGATCTGAAAGCACATCCCGATCTCTCATTATTTAGTCTATTATTAACGTGCCTTGCGCAACGCGCCGTGCTTTTTTTTTATTTAAGTTAAGTATCGTAACACAGAGGAAATGGTATGCCACATCGCGATTCACGATATTTTACTTGTACTCATTTCTTCCGCGCCATTTTTATCGGCGCGGCGGTTGCCGCACATTAGCATTTGCCATTTGCATGCAATATTTTGCACTCGCGTTACTCGATCCATCAAAAAGCGTAACGGCTCCCACCCCACGCTCGCGTGGAACGCTGGCTATATCGGAATTGAATTTGCATTATATTGTTCAATGGAAATCGTACAATCACCACTGACAAGTCCATTGATCGCGAGACGCGAGTGAATTTTGCATTTCCACGTAGACGCACTGTCGAATTTTCATAATCCGCTGTCGGATTAACGTTGCACCTTTGCATGCCGGACACCGTGACGATGTGCATCGCGTAAAGTCACACACGATCTCCTGCGGTTTCCGGCGCGGCGCGTCACGTAAATTACTTCAAAGGATATCGCGCGAACAGAGGAAATTACGCTGGTCGGCGATAGAATTTGACCGAGCAAATAAACCACAAGCCATTATTTTAAATTACAAATTTTTTTTTATTTTAAAGTAATAAAAAGAGCGGAACACATAATTATCTTCTTATTCTCTACAATGCTCCGATAAGCTCGAAAAACGATACATTTTGCGATACACTTACATTTGTTGTATGCCCGCATATGCTTTTTCTTTTGTTTATTGTATTTATATTTTATTCATCATCTCTCCCGTTTTAAAAATATCAATATATATTATATTCTTCTAAGACAATTTTAATAATGTTGTTTTGAAGTGGTTTTAAAACAGTAACTTTATAATTTCAAGTACGAATACATTTCATTCGATTAAGCAAAATTTAGATTGATTATGTCAGCCGAAGTGAAAAGAAGTTTCACGACTGGCGCGCGACTTTTCACGCGATGTTACGTCAAATTTCTGCGTGCATTCAAGCTTAAATGGGGCAGTTATAGTTGCTTGTGCGCCGCGTCAACGTTCGGCAACCCCAGATTGCGTTTTAATTATAGACGTAATTAAAGAGAATTTGTTATGCAAGTGGTCGTTACCAAGGTAGAAGCATTTCGAAACTTTGATAAATTCGATTTGGAAAGACGCCTGCAATGATATTTCAAAATATTAGAAGAAAGTTTATCGTCGATTAAATGATTAAACGATATTAAATGATTATCGTCATGATAAATATAATATTTTAGTTTGTGTAAAGTGATACAATCGCCAATTAATATAATTGGCGTCAAACCATTCGAATATACCATTGTATTTATGTTCTATAAATTCCTTGACTTTCCTTAAGAAAAATAATAAAAATATTTTTTAAATCAATTAAGAGATTAGAAATGAAAGCTAGAAAGTCGTTAAGAAAAAAAATTATAATCAAATAGGAACTTTATTTCTAATTTAATTTAAAGTAATATTTTAACAAACTCCGTGAATAAAAAACAATTTTTAATATTAAAAATTGAAAACTTGCAAGAAATGACGATTAATATATCCAAAAAATATCAGTTTTTAATTGGTCGAGGAATCTATAAACGAAAGATACTCTGCAAGATCTGAGATACCGTAGAATCACAGAAATCCGATGAATATGATTACAAAATCACAGTTATTTCGTCTCGCTGGCTCGCCGCAGGGAACGGACGGAATTCATGGACGTCAGACGCATGAAGACGATTCTGACAGTTTTCTGACAATGGACCCTACCCCGGCATAGTCATCTTTAACAATCCCACGGTGCAATCTCCGCGGACCCATCCTCCCGGCGCGGCGGCAGTATACGCGACGACGCCGACGGGTGCTTACTGACCTCGTTATACGCAACGGTCTTTCTTATTCCCGTGTGAAATTCAACGCGCGACATCGTAAAAATCGGACGCGGGGGACTTGGGGAAAGGCAGAAACGCCGCGCCCCGTATGAAACGCTTCCCTTATCTTCCTGATCTCGCGCAAATTGAAGACTCCCCGAAAATTCCCTGGCGATGCAATAATAGAAATAACAAACGTAATGGGTTTATTCCTTTTAGTCTTATAGCCTTTTCGCAGTCGTTTTCTTTCCCCTCTGTTTGTACAAAGCTTCCGCATGTACTTTTATTTTATTTTAACCCCCTTCAGCTGCATGCAAGCGTACACATATATATCCACCTAGGGTTAGAAATTTTTCAGTCTTAATAACGAGTAAAAATTTTAGGAGTAATGTAGATATATTACAAACAACAATAATATAAAAAAGTAATTAAAAGTTTTTAAAAATTATTATTTAGTTTTGCAATATCATTTTTGCAAATGCTATTTCTTCGTTCAATGCTTGATCATGGAATCGATCATGGAATCAACTTGAGGAACAATTGCACCCAGCAACACCTAAATAAATTTGCGTAAGCATTAAGGATAAGCGTTAAACCAATCACTGCGTGTGATATCGGCAGATCAACTGTACATACGATAATCGATTGCCAATGTAAGTTTGATAGTCGGGTAAATTCACCAGAAAATAGGGCACAATTACGTTTCAATCAATCCTCTTGGTAATATGCCTACGTTATAGCGGGATTATATACGTTTCGAATGATTGTATCAATATATCGCTTACATTAATTACGGAAACTCTAGATAATGGAAACGAAGATAATACGAACCAATAACACACATATGCAGAGTGAAGATTCATAATGGTGCAACGAAAACAACACATATACGTTCATAATAATGTGAATTTTTCAACGCTGAAATATTACGCGCTTAATTATTACATTATTACTTTATGAAAGCGCGATATTATAAAATTTGTATTCTATTCTAAAGATTTTTACATAAAACTATTATTTTGTATAAACTGCAAAATCTAGCATGTTAAAATCTGTGGTCAATTTTCACTTGTCAACTTTCACTTTACTTAATTGTTACTATATAATTAACTTCAGATTAATTACTCTTATTTGAATATCCATCTATTTCAATATCTCTCCCTCTTTTCCTCCCTCCCTCTTTCCCCCTCTCTCTCTCTTTCTCTTTCTCTCTCTCTCACTTACTCAGAGAGAGAGAAAGAGGTTCGAAAGATCAAAGTGGATTTTGCAAGAGTTTATTAACTCATTAAATTATGACTGGAGGATTAGGCAATATAGCAATCTATTTGAGAGTTATTAAATACTGTTACACATCCAGAAAGCGTAGATATGATGGCAATTAGAAATAAAATCACGTTATTTTAATTATAAAAGCGTACTAAAATAAAATGGGGATTTTAACTTCGCAAGGTTACTTCGATACCATACATCTGCATTAGACTGTACGAGCATTGCTCGCTCAATGCAACGTGCATCGAAGCGCGACCAGTTTTACTAAGATTTTCACTTTTCTCAGCGATCAGCGTGGATAAAAAAAGTGACAGCATGACGTTCGAGGTTTGTTCGAGAAATTGTATTCTCTTGCCTTAGACAGACGTTATTTATTATACGATTATATTATATTTTTACACATTATATTTAAATATATTGATACATGTATGTATGTATATATTAAAACTTATATAAACATTTGTAAAAATCTAGCAGCAAATTTGTACGCCACTCATTTGACGACAAGAATAAAATTATCGTTGTCATCATAAGTCTTCCCAATAAACTCGATGCACACGATACACGACACTCGATACTGCTCCAAATACATAGCATCGATCTATCCGCGAAATTCTCGACAAAACGGACGTAAGTAAAACACATTCGACGATTATGTAAAAGTAAATTTTGTCGCGTCTCGTCAATGATGATTTGATTTTGACCATTTATGTCCTGACGTCTGTCCTTCTTTATGACCGTGTTTCTCGTCGTGCTCGTGATGACTGTCGTGCCCCTCTGCCGATTTGTGACCCTTCTTCTCGTGATGATGGTGACCTCCCTCGTGTTTCTTTTCCGCACCGTGATGACCCTAAAACAAGAAGAAAATCGCAGTTTTGACTTAATGGCCGAATTAACGTGTAATAGCGTTATAAGTGTTTCAATGGCAAAAAAAATAATAATTTTATGATATTTTATCATGATTTTAATGAATAATGACCTCGTGATGTCCCGAATGCAAAGATCCTTTCTTTTCATGGCCACCCTTCTTGCCCTCGTGTTCCTCATGCCAACCACCGTGCTTCTCGCTTCCTCCATCCTCGTGGTATTCGTCATAAAAATCGTGTTTCTTCTCGTATTCATCCTGGAAGCAATTTATATGTTAATTCAGAAATATAACAAATAAAATTTTGCTTACATTAAAATGTTTATTACAGTAGTTACAATAATATATTTTTTATTCTACAAATAGATACATATCTAACAAAATTTATTTCTACAATAAAAATTAAGTATAATGTTACTATAATTCTTGATGGAAAAATTACTAATTGTATTGATGGACTATTAACACATATAATTTAGTTAATAAGTATTAGAATGTTAAATACAGACAAGAGATCGATCATTACATAGAAGCCCAGACAGTTATGTCGAATAACGAAGTCTTTGATCTTGTAATCTTAGGAAAAGCTTTAATATCTATATAAATATATACTATTATAATTATTAAAAAGAAAAAGGCCAATAATCGAGCATTAGTGTAGTGTGGCTATTATCATTTTTATTTTTATATATACTATTATGTATGAAGAATAGGGCGAGGAAAGCCGTAACAAAATGTTCGTGTTTTATTATTTTTAATAGACAAATATTATTTCAATCATTGGTTGGAATATAATATTTGTCTATTAAAAATAATAAAACACGAACATCCTGTTACGGCTTTCCTTGCCCTATTCTTCATACTGAATTTTAATCCGCGACGGTCATTTGAATATATTATTATATTTTTAGTATTACAAAGAAATCGTAATCAATGTGTTTTCTAAATTATAGTGGATATTAACGAAACAAATTGATTTTGAGTATGTGCGATACGTGTTGAGCAACAAGAAGATACACATTACACAAGTCATACCTTCTTGAAGACGCTGTGTTCTCCTTTCGTACTGTATCCCTTTTGATGCTTTCCTTCTTCGCCAAACTTCGCGTTCTTCTCACCCTCCTCACCGTGATGATTCTCACCATAATGGCCAGCTTCTTCGTGGTTCTTCTTTTCCTCACCCTCTTCCTCGTCATACTCCTGCTTGTGCTTCTCCTTATCGTGGTGTCCTTTGTCGTTCTTCTCGAATTCGTGGAAAGTCTTGTAACCCTTTCTCAATCAAAATTATTAAGAAGTTATTGAGAAGTTAAAAAAGCGTTTGTTATATAAATCAATATTATTATAGTTTATTGCCGTTAAAAGAATTGACATGATAGTAACGAAACAATAAAGAAGAGAGATATGTATATCTTGTGAAAAACATATTATCGGATTTGTCGGCTGAAATTTCATTAAAAAGCGCCGACGTCGGATTTGCGACATTGTTAGAATATCAATTCCGGCATTGAGGAATGAAATCAGTGCTCGCTTTCCCTACAGTGTGACAAATTCGCAGAAAGGATATCGGGAGAAATTCGATCCAAAGGGGTAAAATATTTTATAGTCGCGCGGCGAATGCTTTTTTAGGTCGAGGCCTCTGTGTCTCGTTCCTCGGGTACAATATTCGTATAAAGGAGAAAAAACTATGTAATATATATTCTTGCGGTAGCGAGCAAGAAGGGAACGTGAGCACCGTGGGCGCTTATATTACAAGCGATAAAAGAGGGAAGAAGTCGTCAACGGATGACGTGAATGACAACAGCTTGGACGTCAATGGCAGCCAGGAACGAAGCGTTTGTACCTTATCGTTCTTATGGCCGTGCGTGTCATGGTGGTCCTCATCGTGCTTCGAGCCGGTGCCCTCTTCGCGATGTCTGTCGCCGCCTGTTCGAATAAAATAAAATGTAAATAAAACTACCGGGGCTTTATCGCTGGTGGGAGGCCCACTCTTTTTTTCTCTTTTTCATTTAACGAACCTCTCGATTCGCGCGTTAGAAAGCAGACCGCATCTATACCTCAGAGAAACGAAGTCTCCATTGAGCCCTTTTCATTTCTCGCGCACGATTCAAGGTCGTTGCATTTATACTTGCAAATATTATAACTATTAACTTGCGAGGTGGACGAGAGAGAATATCGGAAATAAAATTAACTGCTCGCTTCTTTTAATTAATGGAAAAGTGGTGGTGTGCGACAAGAACTTTACTGTCGATAATATTCTTAAATGTCTTGAATATTGTACCTTGTTCAATAAATTAATTCACGTTATATATGTTACATGTATGTGATATATGTATATTCCGGAGACCACGCAAAAATTAAATAACAAAATCGTTAGAATTGTAATGGTACAAGAAAATAAAATATACGTAAATCTATTGTTAAAAATTAAATGCAGCAAATGTACGCACGTTTAAAATAGTACGAGATTCAAATGCACTTCTAATTCTCTGACACATACAAATTAACACGATCGGCGGCAAATCCGCATAATCCACCGTAAGCTTCGCTTTCACGATTGAATTTCCGCTCGTCAATGTCAAAAACGGTTATTTCATTTACCGTGAAAGAGAACACGGCACGTATGCAAAAATATCGATAATCCTGCAAAAATATATGTAATTTTTGCAGCAAATATTACAATTTTTGATTTCTTTGTGAAGCAAATATTGAAATAAATATTTTATTTATTAAATAATCTCGTTTAACTGCGAAAATTAAACCAATTTTCGGCCAATTTTCGAGCAATTATAAAAGATAATGAATTATTTTTTTTACATTTAGACCCACACGTTTTATAGTTGCCCGGGAATTGGCCGTTTGACCTTCGTAGTTAGCTTTGCTTTTATCGAGCGGTGATTTGTCCTTTTAATCTCGTTTAGTTTAATTTCTTTACCGTTTCATATTTTACAAGCAAAACGACAGTTGTAACACGCACCTCCATGACCTGTAGCTTCCGCGTTCAAATCCTTGGAATACCGAAAACCAACTGGAGCCCTGCTGACCTTTCTCATCGCCAGCGAGCCATCAAGAATAATCGTCAGGATCAACAACAACCATAGTAGCCTCAATTCGCCAATGTTTGACGCCATTTTAATACCGCTCCGCGCAAAATAAGAGATATATGTTCGGAATGCGAAGAACAAGATTAAGGCACTGAGGATCATCTGCAATCGTTGCTCCGATTTATTGCGCTGGCATCGCTCGTTTTTCCTCGCCGCCGCCAGTCAGGCGAACGTCTATTTTTCCTGCCAGTGGCTGAAAGGACTTTTCTCTTCCGGACGGAAGATGACGGCGCGGAAGAATGAGAAAAAAAAGATGCGTTTTCTTACTTTGTCGTCGGTACTTTCACCCGCCGCGCTTATTAGTTGCTTTCCATCACTCTTACACTCAAGTGATCTGAGTCACTCAGTTATGTGAGTATTTTATACTGAGGTAAGATATGTCATTTTGTATTTACCTGCTTATTTTGGTGACAAAGCTATCGCATAATAATACAGGTCCATAGCCTCACTTTTAATGTTCGAGTCTATTAGATTCATTAAAGCACATGGTCTCGATTGTAAAAAACTCAGTGAATCTCACTTGCCAGCATGCAACAAGAACGTGCATTTAACTGAGTTATGACGTCACAAGTGAGAATTATCTGAGTTTTGATGTAAATGGAAAGCAACTATTATTCGCGGTGTGAGCAAGAACAAAATTGCGAGCGGTCATATATCTTGCTCTCGTCTTTGGTCACTAATATATATGTTTTGGATCTTAATTTATCAATTCTTGATTTGTAAATTATTAGCGTAATTTTAATTTGTTTAATTTGATTTATTAGCGCACTATTAATTGCAATCGTTATAATTCTTACAATTTATTAATACATCTTTGACTCGCAAAGCATAATTAGCGTAATTAACTCTTGATTTGCTAATACGTATACACTTCTAATTCTTAATAATTTCTTGACGCGATTTTACTCTATGATATGAATACTCTATGATAATGATTCGAACTGCAACTTATAAATACATTTTCAAACTTATAATTTACTGACTTAATTATTATATAATTTATCAGTAGATTTTTTTACTTTAAAAATTAATTCATCGAAAAAAAAGTTTTATACAATCCTTAAAAGTATGTACAAATTACTTCTGCTAAAGTGATTGCCATTTCTTTTCTGTTAAAACGATTTCTGAAACGCCAAAAACGTAGAAAACGCCGCGACAAGGGGATGAACGGATGAGAAACGCAAAGAACGTGACCGAAGGACGTGAATGACTCATAACCACTGAACACCCCAGAGCCTTCGCATTGAGCCATCGAACAAATATCGGGCACAACCATGGCCGGTTAGACGAAGCCGCCAGGCAAACACAATTACCATCTCTTTTCTACTCTTTCTCTCCGAAACGTCCGTCCCGCCGTGAGATGCAACTCTCGACTTTCCTCGTCTCATTTTCATCTTTCGCCGCCGCGGAAAATCCGATAAGCTACGAAAGGACATTTTAATTCCAGATTCATAATGAATCTCTCTGTCGCATAATTAGGATTATTAATCCGCTCTGCGTATCTATCGTGCGGGATCGTTAAGCGTCCCATATTAATTGATTACAACTGTTTCTCAGCATCGCAATTTGCTTCGCAATTCAAATGTTTCCCTGGCACTGACCACTGAATGTATGTCGTCGTATGTCGTACCTGTACCGATCAAAATGTTTACACAACATTTCCGTTGCATTCTCCGTAATTTCTCACCCGTGCAATTTTACCGTCGCGTCGACATGAAACACCGCAGATTTTAACAGCTGCATCTGATTCCCACATTAATGTCACGTTGAGCGGCTTATATTAATTTAAATAAAACGGAAACTAAAATTATGTTCTCTTCGTTCTACACGATCAATTTCTTTTCATCAGTTAAAAAATATTGGGAAACCTACAGTCTTCAAGTTTCTTTAATTCTATCTCTTTAATTAACGATTGAAAATAAGAGAGAAGAAGACAGATGAGAAAGTCATATTCTTTAGATGATTACGAGGATGCAAATATTAAATCGTCGCTTAGAGATATAAATGGTTTCGCAATGTTAAAAATTATAATGGTACAATAAATAAACACAAACTTTCTTAACGCTAAAAAGAAACTCTTCAAATCGATCGAAAGAAATTACGGTCAAGGAGAATACTCGATATTTTCGATGTAGCCTGCGAAATTATATCAATCGCATAATGAGGTTGTTATTGGGTTTTTTTATTGTTGATGTATCGAATATTCTACCGTCGGAATTATGTAATCTGTAAGGCAATAGGGAATTATCCGGCTTATAGCCCCCGCGAACCACCGCGTTCGTGGTTTACTCGCTTTCGCGACGGCATTCCCTCGTTTCTGGCGAACGTGCTCTCATTCCAAGTGCAATCCGTTAAACGGCTAACGAGATATCGGTAAGCAAATTAGTCAACAGATACAGGTGTACTATCACAAATAACGGCCGCGGCGTTACTGCTCCCCGCCGTCATCTGCGCCGCCCGCCGCCGCTAGAAACAGGGTCTACATTAATACGCGTAATTCGATTTTCATCATCCTCTATATAACAGGTGTTACGGAGGCTCGCGCAAAAGCAAAACAACATTTTAACCGCGAATGTCGCGGCATTCTTCTTCTTCGCGAAATCGTCTTCTCTTTGAGAGACCGTCGTTGTCTTTTACGAAGCTACTATTATGTAAGGAGCTTCGCGATGCTCCGTCGACGTGCCGAATGAAAAGAAGAAATGATTTCGATAGTCGTCCTTGGGATGTGAGTGGTTTAAGTGAAATTGAAGCTAATTGTTGTCGGGGTAAGAAAGTGAGCTAAAGACGCTTCAAGATGAGCGACGCGAGGAACGATAAAGACACGGAAGCCACGGCTCAGGGGGACACGAGCGATTATGTGCTTCACCTCCCACGTCCGCTCAATCTCGAAGAAAAGAAGTACCTATTGGCCGTAGAGAGAGGTGATTTGCCGAACGTGAAGAGGTTTCTGCAGCTTGCAAACAAGGGCAAGGTAAATATTGACTCTTAATACATAGGAAATCAACGCGAGAACAAAATGATCTTTGAGCAAATAATTATAATAGGCTCCCCGATTTCGCGAAGAAAAAAAGTGTCTACATTTTAATATAAAAGACAACCTTATTTTGAAATTGATCGAATTTGCTGAAATTAAAAATTTAAATCTTATTTCGTAAAATTAAAAAATTGTTGTTTAATGCGTATCCGCGACGAAATCCTGAAAATAGTTCGCGAATAAAAGTTATAGCAGCAATTTCGTAGGATTGAAACACGCCGAGACGAATGTACTCGAACGTTTTAGGGAAAACAGCTGGACACGAATTGCGTAGATAGTCTGGGTCGCAGTGCCCTTACGCTGGCTATAGAGGCGGAAAACTTAGAAATGGTCGAGCTGCTCGTCGTTATGGGAGTCGAAACTAAGGATGCCTTGCTCCATGCCATCGATCAAGAATTCGTAGAGGCGGTAGAGTTGCTGCTGGAACACGAGGAACTTCTTACGAGCCAAATGACCGAGGATTGTAAGTTGAAATTGACGTTTTCGAAAAGTCGCGTATAACGTCTCGATTGTCGCAATTGTAATAACGTAATTATGTAAATAAACAATTTTACTGAAAATAAAATTGCTTTAGAAGAATTCAGAAGATTTGTTAATTTTAATAGATCGTATTATTAATTTTAATAGATCGATTCTTAGCATTGCTGTTGAGCTATTACCTGTCCTTCACGTTTCTCGCACCTTGATTGCAGCCGAAAAGCAGATTATACACAGCTGGCAGAAGGTTGATCCGGCATCAGCTAGATATTCGATGGACATGACACCCTTGGTGCTCGCGGCGCAGCGTAATAATTACGAAATCCTGAAGCTTCTACTGGATAGAGGAGCTACCTTGCCGATGCCGCACGACGTGAGGTGTGGCTGTGACAATTGTCTTCAGGCAACCATCGGTGAGAGATACTCTGATGAACTTTATTTTTCTACAGGTTTTACAAAATATATGTATAAATTGTCAAAGATATAGAAGATACATACAATGGCATAATCGAATTATTATTTAGGTGATCCATTAAGACTGTCGTCCACTAGAATCTCCGAATATAAAGCTTTGGCGAGTCCAAGTTTAATAGCCCTGAGCTCGACGGACCCTTTGATGACGGCTTTCCAATTAAGCTGGGAACTTCGGCAACTGGCTGTATCGGAACCGGAAAGTAGAGCCGAGTACTTGAAACTACGGCGACAAGTAGAAAAGTAAGTTTTTTATTTCGCACGATACAATTGTGTAATATTATATGTTTGTTCAATAATTATAATCGGGTTCCGAATAGATTCGCTGTCGATTTGTTGCAACACGTTCGAACTACCACGGAATTAGACACTATCCTAAATTACGATCCCGAAGAAGAGAATGCCGAACTTAGCAAACAATTAGCTCGACTGGAGCAAGCTATAGAATATAAGCAAAAGAGATTCGTCTCACATTCTCACGTTCAGCAGCTCTTGGCAGCAATCTGGTAAACCCCAAAGAATCTATTATTTAAATACAAAAGTTCATACAATACATTATTTGTAAAAAATTTAAAAACACTTTTGAATATCTCATCCGATTTGAAGGTACGAAGGGGTCCCCGGATTTCGAAGAATGTCAACTATGCAGAGAGTCGGCATTCTTGCAAAGACCGCGGTTCTATTTCCATTCTATTGTATCATGTACTATCTGATGCCGGAGTCAAAAACAGGGCGACTTATGCGAAGACCCTTCATGAAATTCTTGGTTCATGCGTCATCCTATTTATTTTTCTTATGTAAGTTGTACATTTTAGCATTGATATATGTATGCTGATTACGAAGGAGACAAGCCGATTCAAAATAATGAAATTAGCATTATTATTTAATCAACGGCTAATCACATGTCTATAGTTGTACTCATGCTGGTATCACAGCGTGCTGAAGTGGAGATCGTTAGGCTCCTGGGTACTCAGGAAATGAAGAGAAACCTCGCGGCTTATTTGGCTCGACAGAGAGGCGCGGTACCTACCCCTCTGGAGGGTATCGTCGTGCTATACGTCCTTGGATTTATATGGGAAGAAATGAGAGAGGTGCGCAGATAAACGAGTCTAATTTTCCTCCGTAGTAAATAAACAAGTATGAATGCGTCTTCTATATTTGTCTAATTGTAAGCCGTGACGCATGCTATCAGGCTTACGTGGACGGTCTGAGAAGTTACTTACGGGATATGTGGAACTTTATCGACTTCACTAGAAACACGCTCTATTTCGCGACCGGGGTTCTCAGGCTGGCGGCTTACCTTCAGCAGCGCGCCGAGATACGGACAGATCCATTAGCCGCGTTAATACCAAGGGAGAATTGGGGCGACTTCGATCCGCAGCTGATTGCGGAAGGTCTCTTTGCGGCCGCGAATGTCTTCAGTGCTTTAAAGCTTGTTCATCTTTTCAGCATCAATCCGCATTTGGGACCGCTTCAGGTATCACGTTTGTCATAGATATTTTGCTAGATTATATATTAAGAATTCCTATTTAAGACTTCTTTAAGAATTCTTCTGTATTTAACAGTATTTCCTGATATTACTTTAATATACATGAAAGTGTGTTATAATATTAATAGTTTTCTTGATCGCGATATGATTTTGACTTTATAGAATTTGCGATTTTTGTTTTAGATATCGTTGGGCAGAATGGTAATCGACATTGTGAAATTCTTTTTCATTTACACCTTAGTGTTATTCGCCTTCGCCTGCGGCTTAAACCAGTTGTTGTGGTATTTTGCGGAATTGGAGAGGCAGAAATGTTACAGCGGAATGTCGGATCCCCCTTGGGACGCCGGTAGTGACGCCTGCTTAAGATGGAGAAGGTGAATGGAATAATCGAATTGCCAGACGGCAGGATGAAAGACATGTCTTTCCTTTCAGGCCACATTTCCGACGCGGATATGTCTCCTAATAATCATGAAAAAAATAACAGATTGGGCATCCCCTTCCAAATCTGTAATATTGTATAATCTGTATAATCTAATGAATTATTTATTAGGGCTACACCTATATAATAAATACATGACTTTGTATTTTTAAAGAAAATTATTTTGAAATTATTAATATATTTGTTAGTCGAAAGATTGAATGTAATTCCTGAAACATATATTATTTAATACATAATAAAAATTTTAATTTATTTATTCATTTACTTTTTCAACGTGATACAAAATCGTTTGCAAACATTTCGATTACATTTCGCGTAAAATTTTTTCAGATTCAGCAATCTGTTCGAATCGTGTCAGAGTCTTTTCTGGGCCAGTTTCGGTATGATCGGCATCGAAAGCTTCGAACTCACTGGTACGTCCACGTATGTAATTTAAATATAAAAAAAATCCTTTTTGTGTTAAAACTGACGTCTAATCATCGACGAAACCAACGTTATTATTTTCTAGACCCCCAACGTTGTTATTTTCAGGAATCAAGTCGTACACTCGATTCTGGGGCTTGTTGATGTTCGGCTCGTATTCCGTGATCAACGTGATTGTCCTGCTAAATCTACTGATAGCCATGATGAGCAACAGCTACGCCGTTATTGAGGTAAGGCTCCAAAACTCGAACGATACTCGTGATCTGAGTGATCTCGTCAACAGAAGCATTGACACGATAGGAACATTCCGACACGGAGTGGAAATTTGCGAGAACGAAGTTATGGATGAGTTACTTCGAGGACACCGGGACCCTTCCGCCGCCCTTCAACATCTTCCCGCCGCCGAAATTGCTTTTCCGATTGTTCGGCCTACAGAAGAAGCGTATCGGCAGACACTCGAGTCAACGTCGACGTGCACGCGAACATAAGTGAGAAATCTTTGTTAAGTACTTGGCTAAAAAATGTGTTAATAGTTTAAAACGCAATTTATTTTCGTGGTTAATCTTAGATGATAACTCTTTAATATTTTAATTGTTGATCTGCAGACGATAGAGTATAGTGACATAATAATGATGTGACGCTTAGTTATACGTATCTTCCTGCTGTCAATTATACAGATACGGAGCGGTCATGAGAGCTTTGATATGGCGCTACGTTGTGAACGCGCATAGTGAGCATGAGATGGAACCTGTCACCGAAGACGATGTCCACGAGCTTAAATCCGACTTGTCGTCCTGGAGATGTGAACTCCTGGACATCCTGCATAGAAACGGCATGGACATCGGCGGCGTCGATAAGAAGGAAAAGAGTGAGCATTCCTATGCAAATATTTGCGCTTTCTTTACTTAAAATAACGATTGAGATAAGCTTAGAGCAAAGTTTAAGCTCGTCGAGAATTTAAAATTATATCAAAACTTATATTAGCTGTTCTCTTAAAATTAGCTATACTGGGCAAGAAAATGAAGGTTTGGGAGAGAAGACTCATGAAAGACTTCCAAGTAGCAGGTCCTGTAAATTCAGCTGACATCGATCTTCAGGAAGAGATAACTCTTCAACAACCCGAAAACGAGAGTAACGTTGAGAGATGGAAGAGAATCGCCAGATTAGCTGTTTTGACTTCGGCCGAACATCGTTGGAGTCAAGTACAAAAGACCTCTACTTATTATTCCGTGAAAGAAATGATATGGTAGCTGACTGTCAAACTTCTTTCAATTTTGTAGGTCGTGAAAAATGCAGTTAAGAGCTCTCAAATCGGCAAAAGCTGCAGCAAGACGTCGCTGCAGAATCAGCAGAGTCTGAAGCGAGCCATGGAGGAAGCGAAACGTCTGACGCAAAAAAGCCCACTGCCGACAGATGTGCCGGTTGAATTGCCAGGAACTACCGCGGCGACGATACTGCACGTGCTACACGACATCGTTGAGGGTGATGGCGATGCTAAGACATCAGGACTCAAAAAAGAAAAGACTCCGGAGCCAGTTAGAAACGGCGTTGGTTCCCAGCCGTTTGAACCAATTCTTCAGGTGCTAAATTAATAATTAATGACGTGTGTAAAAGCGTTATGATGAAGAACAGAAAATAATTTGATTTCCTTGAGTAAGTTTTGTTAAGGGCGGGAAAAATGTTTTTTTATACAGGCCAAATCCTCTGTCGATTTTGTTGACGAAAAAACGACGAAGGCCACTGCGCCATTGTTACCGCTTCGTTCATCACCACCGCGAGTAATCAAGAGGAAAGCGCCTACTCATCTTGGTACTCAGTCACTTAACTTTCTTATATTATTCAAATATAAACTACAATATAAACGTTATTCGTATTTATCACAAAAAGAAGAAAAAGTTTAGTTAAAAAATTCTATTCTTTTAAATATAATAAAGCAATGTTTAATTTTATATTTATTCAATTACATATTAATTATAATTTAATTACATACAATTTTACGATTACTTTATTTATGACACACTTATTGCTAATACTGTTCTATTTCTTCAGGACAATCAGCTTCTGCTCAATCAACTTCTATTCAATCCTCGACTACTACTTCGAGCGCTACTTCGTTTGTCCCTACGACGTCCGTGACTGTTGCCGGAATTACCGCAACCAGTACAACACGCACGACTGCCGTAACTACTGCTGCAACAACTACGTCTGTCATGAAGACTGCTATGAAAACTGCTACTACTTCTGCCAAGCCCATCATTACTACTACTAATACTACTGCTATTAATACTATTGCTATCGCTACTACTACTACTACTACTACTACTACTACTACCAAATCTGTTGCCACTTCTACTACTGCAAAATCCACCGCTACTACTACCGTTTCTATCGCTACGAAAACTTCTTCTAGTTCTCCCATGGAAAGTCATAGCAAATCCGTTACCGTATCCATGAGTGCACTTTCAACTAGCGTCAAAGACGGAAGCAGTTCGATCAGAGCACGGCCAAAAGCTTCACATAGTCCCAAACTTCCGATTATTCCTTCGTTAACGGTTACCTCAAGTTCGGACGGCAAAGGTGATGACCGAGAAAAACTCGTAGATGTTACATCGCGTAGTAGACCATCGAGAGGAGGATGGCTTTAAATCCTGTCTACGTGCCCTATATGGAAAATTCCAGTTATATGTGTAAAACACAATTTTTTTTTTTTAATTTAGCTATTATATTACCTGCTATTTTGGAAATAAATGAAAAAATAAAAGTGGACATGAAAACTCAGTAAATTTTTTAATATTCTGTGCCGACAAAAATTTAAAAGTATTATTTCAAATTTTTCCCGAAGTTCTAAAAAGTCAGTATGAAAAATTATTTGTAAAAACACCTACAGAAGATTATAAAAGTATTTCCGTCGAATTATTTTATTTAAAAAGATACAGAGATATTATAAACATATTATATATATATTATTTCTTATACATATATTTGTATTTAAAGAGAAATAAAGGAGCGGGACTTACATATAGATGAGATGTGTATTGCGTGTATTTATTCTCTTGTCTATGAATACATTCTATCCTTGTGCACGGCACTAATCGCATGCTTATGATAGAAGAGATAAGTTGGCAGGAGATGTAATATAATTAAAAACATGATACAAATTAACACATGGGCATATATTAATATGTATCCTGCTACAACTGGGAGATGTAATATAATTAAAAACATGATACAAATTAATATTGGCATATATTAATATGTATCCTGCTACAATTGCGATTCATATGAATAGGTCCAATGTATTTCGATTGGCAAATAATACATAAGTCTAAAAGGATATCTATAAAAGATCAAGATGTTTGTGTTGTCTAAATAACACGGTTTAAATGCCATAAATATGCAAAAATCATTTAACAATAATCTTTAAAGTTCTGTAAATTCCATAAAAGTAGTTGTCCGAATCGAAGAGACTCAATCACGCCGATAGAATAAATTTTATCGGAACGATGCAATTCAAGCAACTTGTACGACTTTAGTCAGCGGGTCTTTTTGCGCCGAATTAATTTTATCGCCCAAGGATAAAGCCATGCCTTGGCTCTTGGCTCTGATACGAATATGACCAACCACTGGCGCGTCAGATTTGTTCAATGGTTTCTCAATGGATAAATTCGCCAATGCGTCTTCACCGAATATTGATTTAGCATACATATTTGCAGCCATAAATCCACATTGTCCTGAAAGAGCCTGTAGAAAAAACGACAATGATATTTATGACAACAATGCTATTTTTTAACAGAAAATTAGTCTAATAAAAGAATTAAACATACCTTCTCTGGCGTGAGACAACGCATATTTGTAGACTTTAACAAATGTGCAAGATAGTCTCTCAAGTCAGACAGAGTCGTATTGACAGACACTTTGTTCTCCCATTCAAATTCGGCCCACATCTGGCGGAATTCGGTGTCAGTGCACGTTGCGGGCACTATATAATCCATTATGTCGATATGTATGTCGTTAAGAACAACTACGCTTCTGTCAGAGCCCGCACCTGATACATCGTAAACTGCAAATAGAAAAGAATAATCATGATAATTAATAAAATTAATTTTTATCTTCCGAAACACACATCAATGTGTCACAATTTCTTCTAAAAATATTTCTAAATTTCACTCACCAATATTTCCAAAGATAATGCCGTTTTCCGTAGACGTAACTTTCACGTTTGCCTTGATAGTGGCGAAATCCCTAGGCGCAAGTACAATGGGCTGCGGTCTCTCCACCAGCTTTAGATCGCCCAAAGTGGCCAGTTCCAATGTACAATTCTGTAGAGTGTCTTCCGTTTGATTAACTATCAGCACATCAAGCACAATGTCGTATTGATTAACGTGAACCAAGGCCTCCGCATAAACTGGGTCCGAGAAACCGGTGAGTTGAATGACTTTGCTCAAGGCACTCGGAGCATCTCCACTGGCACCAGGTCGTCCTGCTACAGCTGCGCTAAGGCTTTGCTCGAACATATCACCAGCCCCACCGGCCAAGTCGGATCCTCGGCTCAATTGCAAGAATTGAATTGCGTCATCGACTTGAACGATACTGCCTGGCTTTTCCTTGGCCTTCTGATTTTGCGAGTCCTCCTCTGCTTTCGCGGTCAACATTCTACCGAGTGCATCGCGGCATCCCTCAGTGAAAACTTTCTGTACGAGAGGCGTTGGGCAAGCAAGGGATCTGAGACACAGGGAGATCCTCTCTGCGTCGTCGTGTGTCATTGCTTTCATAGGAAGACCTGAACGGCCTAGCTGTAATACGCTGGACATTACAAACATTGCTTCCGCCTGTAATTTGTTGCTCTTTTGGACGTTGGTTTCGAGTATTTTATAACGAAGGGCTAATTTTGCCAATGTGGTAGCCAGAGACGCGCCAATAAAAAAATCACCTTCCATCATGTATTGCACTAATGCAGGTCGCTTCTCCTCCTTTTTCCCTATTGATTAATTCATGTATATAATAGAGTGCAAAGTATTAGAAATATCACATCTATTTTATACAAAAACAAAAGTTACTCACGTGCAGATGCAGCACTGAAAGCACTTTGAGTCGCGTAAGTACCATCAGACGTGACGAGTTGCGCAGGTGCAGCTTGTGAGTTACCATCTTCGGACTTTTCACCAGCTTGACGTTTATTTTCTGTTTCGAGCAACGGCAACTCGCCTAATGCTGCTCGTATACGACCCATCACAGCTTCTATGTCCTCTTTCGATGTGGCGTATTCGCCGAGGATCCATAGTGCGGCTCTGTGTACTTTTACGGATCGTATGTGAGGGAACACCTAATTTATGAAAATCAAAATTAATTTCTGTTAATCTTGCCAACCGTATTTTTAATAATACACTGTCTCGTACGCACCTCTAACAGTTTCTCAACAATCAACGGTCTGAGATTCTCGAATCTCTGAATGGCTTCACGAATAAATACAAGAAGATCCGTAGCTGCTGCTTCGTTACTCTCCGATAGAAAATCGGTCAGTACTGGAATGACAGTAACAGCAACGTCCGCAAACTTCATGGAACAAGTGTGAAGAGTTCGTATCAAGAGCTGGCGGTATCTGCCAGCGTCCTCATGTTCTCCGCCAGCTGTCCTGAGAACTTCCTTCTTTAGAAGCTGGACCATTTCTTCAATCGTGCGGGTTGTAACTAAATCCATAGCTAAAGCTAAGGTTTTTGTCCTGACTTCCAAGGCTGGTGATCCTATTCAAGATAAATGACAATAATAATAAGTATGTAGAACTCCAACGTATGTAGAATTTCAACAATTTTTTCATTGCTTTTAATACCTAAAACGCGGAGTATATCCATTACAAGATCTTGAAGTACCCTTTCGTACACGGGACTATCTTTCATTGCAATTAAGCGATCCAATACGATAAGTTTAACGTTGTTGTCACTTTCCTTGACAACCAATTCGATGTAACAAGAAGCCGCGGCTTTGATCGCGGTTGGCGCACTGGAAAGTGTCACCAACGTGCCGGCTGCTTCGTAACGCACCGCAGCGCTAGGTGAATTCAGCAAACTGTAAATACATCTGATAAAACGTGCCCTTTCCGATGGATTTGCAAGACAAACCTAGAAAAAAAAATTATAATATCCAGTGATAGTTATTGGAAAAATATATGGGCTCACAGATTAAAATACAGCGCATTTATTCATACCTTATATATTAATTCAACAATGACCAACTGTAGTATATCACCGAAACTCGGCACTTGATCGAGGCACGCAGCTAAATATGCGAGAGCTTTACTTTGATCGGCGTGCAACAACATTAAGAATGCATTTCTCCTGCATGACATATCTTGCTCCCCCTCCAGATACTTTGCAATCAAGTCCGGAGCATCTGGTATAAGAAATTCAAAATTTCTGTATATAGTAAAAATAGCGAGCACTGCGTTACGTCTGACATAGGAGTGTCTGTGCTCCAGACAAGCAATTATCGCGGGCATCAGTGGCTCGAGAAGTTCTGGCTCTTTCAATTTGCACAAGAATCTGCAAATTTAATATTTACTATGTGCAACGTCCATACAATTTGATTCGCGCTTGTGTTTGTGTTCTTACCTGAGAGTGGACCCCCTGACAAATTCATTGGGGTGTTGCAAATCTTTCCTGTACGCGTCGCATACCAGGATCATTTCCTGCAACAGCTTGCCATCGGCAGAGGTTTTCGGTACGATCTCCCAGAATATCAGCAACAACTTCTTGATGGTGTGATTCTGATGAGGCAGGACAAACCTAATGATCGTCATTAGAAGTCCCGGCAGTCGTTCACCGCTCAAAATCATGTGAATCGTCTTCTTGAGCGCGTCGATTTTCGCCTGGACATTACCCTTCTCGAGATCCTGCTTCAGCTGGAGCTCGTTCAGCGGCTCCGTGTCGGTTGGAATATTTATCAAGGTGTAGCACGGTTGCTCGGTTATCGTACTCATTTTCTCAGCTGCTTGTGACCCCGCACTAAGAAAAAAGTTTCCTTACAACCTGCGAAAGGAAGACGAAGAAAAAGCGGATGAGCGATTAATGAGGTTATGTGAGGCATCCTAGCACATTGCGCGTATCAGCGATGCTACAAACCAACGTCTGATACGAGAAGAATTGCGAGCGATTAAACACATACCTAAAATTAGGGCTGAGAAAAATACGCGCAAATAATCGGCCTGTCAAAGTTTACTGACATTTAGGTACATCTAGATGCAGAGGGAAACGGTATACGTGTCATAACTCATACGTATCAAACTGCGATCAGAAAGCGCGAGATGTCGCTAGTTTCCTATATGAAAGAACACTATCGTGCCTAAAAATTAAGTTTCACTTTAAAAACCAAAAAATCGTGAATCTAACGGAAAAGAACCAAAAAGTCTCTCTCGGCTATGTATGATGTTTGGTATTGCCGAAATTGCATTTTGTTTGAGGTCATTAATTAAAAATGTCTATATATGAATTGAAAAAAGAGACTCGATCATCATTATGCATCATAATTTTATATATCTTATTATTATTTTATTTATTGTTTATAATAAAATAAAAAATATGAAATATTTGAAAGTACAAAAAATATTTTTTACGTACAATATAAAAAGAGTATATTAGACAAAAATAAATGGCCTTCGATAGGATTCGTTTCTCGTATTTAAAATTTGACGAACAGTGGTATAAAAACGGTATCAAGAGACACGGCACTGTCTCACGTCAAGCAGTGCCAAGTTATAATATATGAAAT